TTTGTATATTTCCATTGTCTTTTTAAAATTAAAGGCTTTGTGTATCTATTAAAAGAACCTCTTTATAAAACTCTGTTTTTGGTTTCTTGTAGAAGGGGAACATTCCATGAATATTACCGCGCGCATATTAAGTACTTATTATTCTGATTCCTGGAAAGTAATTAAGAATGCTTTTTGTTTTCGATGTGTAAACATAGAATCTCATTTTACTTCTATCTTGTATCGATCTTTATACGTATATGTACAATAATACAATACATGAAACTACAAAATAAATATAGCAATGTTTTATTCTTTCTGACAGTGTCTTCAAATTGAAAGTTTATTGATTAATATTTTTATATGTTGTTATAACAATTTCTTATATTTGCTATTCTCTACCAACTCAAAAAAGAAACATTGATTGGTCAACGGTTGTACATATTTCATACACAGAATATATACTTGTGTGGAAAGTATTTTATAAGAATACTGTGTTAGCATTACTCTAGTATTGCTCTTTCCTTATTCATTCAATTTACAAACTTAAGCTTCTCTTTTCATCGATCCTCGAAAGCTATGTCGATTATAAACTTTGTTTTTCTTTTTCTTCTTTTTTTTGTCATTCCTTCCGTTTAGAAAAATATGGTAAGATGTAACAAGAAAAATACATGGTCGGTAAACAAGTTTTAAGGTACACGTGAATAAAATCAACGTATCATAGAAACGTAACTTGTATCGTTGCTTCATTTCCTCCAAGCCTGGGGCGTGACAACGATGATCTTCTAATACTTTCACTACGATAAATTTCTTTCTCAGAACATTATATTCATATGACACTTTTTAACAGCATAGAATTCGTTAACATAATTATTTCGTTTACATTTCAACGACTATCAAGAAGCCATTAAACTCTACAATGCGCTCGGCTAAATTCTGCGTATCCACTATTATATACTCATAATAATGAAATCTGAGGTATTCAACGAACTCTCGGTTACACGTCCAATATTGATGTATAGGAAAGTGGTGCGCGAAGGGAGTATACGTTTTTTTTCCACGGTGCATGGGAACAGAGTTTCGACTAATCACAGAATAGACTTGAGGTTTGCGATTAAAGTTACACAACAGCTGTACAACGTTACTCGGAAGCGGGTCTATTTTACGTAGAACTTTCTAACGATATTCATAAATAATTAGCTACACAATGATCCCTAATGATCTGATTCGCATTGGAATGAGACAACGAATTATTTAATGTGGATTTCTAGCTGGAATAGGTGGTCCTCCCGACGTTCTCGCCGGTATGGGCGGCGGAACGTTCGACGCTGGTAAACTAGGCGGCGGATGTTGCGGTGGAGGAGGAGCTTGTCTTTGAGGCAACGGAGGAGGTTTAGAGCTAGGCGGTCTGCTAGACGGTTCTTGCGAAGCGTCTGTGCGAGGTAATGGCGGCGGCGGACGGTTTGGTATAGGATAACTAGGAGATCCATCTAAAATCTCTTCATAAATCGCTGATTCCGGTGATAGTCTTTCGCTTTGTTCGGCTCCCGTTCTTTCTCTGGACAATGGCGCTGGAAACTGATTAGGCAACACGCTGAATACACCAGCGCGTGGCCCTTGCTTCCGATCTTGAATCGGACTTTTCGGTGGCTGAGACGGTCTACCGGGTGGGGCTGGTCTAGGCGGTGGAACCACTCCGTTCGGACTGCCTCTGCTCGGCGAACCTCGGTCCGTTATTTCCAGCTGTTCTAATCTGTGCATGGGACTCCTTACCGGAGACATCGACGTGAACTGTGCAACGGTCGTGTTGCTGCACAGCTCTATCTCCTTCTCTATTACTTGCACCCAATTCGGCGACTTCAAAGACAACTTCAAAGTCTGGCCGCATACTTGTGTCATGGCCTTTTTAGCTGCAGCCAACGCGCACTGGCCATCCCTGAACGTCACCCAGATCGTCTCGCCGACGAATCTGACGAGGATCACCTCGCCGATGTGCGAGAAATCTTGCAGCAACGCCATCATGAAGTTCTCGTCGAACACGCTGTCCATGTCGTCGGATTCCTCCACAGCTTTCACCACGATGGTGCCGTCGGGCGGACCTAAATCCTCTATCACTTCTTTAAATACTTTCTCTCGTTTCTCGGGCTCGACGCAATGAATATCTATATCGACGATCGCGATCACCGGACGATGGTCGCTCTGTTTCAATTCCACTCTACCGTAATGAACTAATTTCCCTGGATTCCAGTCTGAGGGTGAATCTAAAAAGACGATCGAGTATATACCAAACGAAAGGAGATAAACGTCGTTCAAAAGCATTTCAAACTAACCAATATCAGGTACTTGTTTCCTACGTTTCCATAGAACTCTGTCGGTCCATGCTGGCTGTCGGCATTTTTCACTAGTATCGTAATCCTCGGAGAAGAGATCATATTTATATGTAGGCGCAAAATTGATAGGACCTTCTAGGAAATTCTTGAAGACGTTCCCTTGCTCCTGTTGGACCTAAATTTCGCATAAGAGTGACGTTTTAGTGTATTCTTTTTTTCCGAGTTTCTTATAGAATAGAATATTTATACACTTCCGGCACTTTACCCTGAGTTGATCGTACTGTAATATTTGGTCCAATTCGTTTCGTTTAATCATCTCTTTCATCTCGTCCTTGTCCATGTCGACTCTATAGTTAAAATCACCACACCAGAACACATAGTCGTGGGTGTTCAGCGTTCTTCCCATGGGGAATGTTACTTTTCGCGTGATCTCCGCGTAATCTGCATTACGCTCTTTAACTTGAGACTGTCCAGCAGCAAAGTGCGCGCAAACGAAACAGAAAGATGTAGAATACAACACACATCTAATAGCAGCCGCTCCTTTGTTACCTGTTGCACCTCCTAATCCAGTTTTCACGCAGTCTACGGCTACGTCCCTTAAGTAAGGTGCATGTACAGGTCGTATGAATAAATAAAGACAAACACCGACTAATTGCTGGTACGTGACCAGAACGTATTCGGTGTCTCGTGAAAGTACTTTCTGCAATTCCTCTGCCCAAGCTTTCGCGTTATCAGTACTAGCAGCCATTATATTACTGGTATTTAAATCAACGATTTCTTCGAACCCTATCGCAAATATATCTACAGGAACATTGTCATAATCGATTGATACTAGAGCTACAACGAGAAACACAGATGTAATGAAAATGAATTTTTCAATGGAGTATAAATAATAATGTACATCCCAGCGTATACTTACATGTTGATTTACGTGGTGCATCTAGTAACCAGTCAGAAAGGGAAACATCTTTATACACTACGTTTCGAAAGTGTTTCCCGCCGTTAACGTTATAAGTACCGACACTTACTCTAAGATTCATTGGGGTCACATACTCGTTATACCTTTTGCACATTTCTCTTAGAACGCTTGGCGGTGCGTGTAGCATGTTCGAAGGTAGAAGTAATCTGGCTCTATCCGCTAATTCTGTGTTCAACGTTGATCCCAATAATAAGACATCGATAGCTTCTTGCTTACTAGAGTCCAATAAATTATTTTGTATCGTTCTCGCCGCGGATCTTGCACCGTCCATTAATTTCGAACTCCCTTGAATCGCTCCAGTACCGGCGTATATTTTACTCACTTCGTTACCGTTGTTGATCCACATTTGCCTAAATACCTCCTCAAACCTGGAGACCATCTGCTGCTTCTCCAGCAGCTTCAACAGTCCAAGCTGTTTGCCGAGTATTTCTAACGCGAAGAACGTTTGTACACAATTTGTCCTATCTAAACAATCGAGGCAATTCGTTCTAATAGTTCCAATTTGTTCAAACATAACGGAATGATTAACGGCATAGAATAATGAAAATGATTCTAAATATTTCTCTACTTTCGCCTTCAATTTTGAGAGGTTCTTCATGTTGCCGCCTCTACATTCTTGATGGTAGTCGAACAGAATATGAGGCACATCCTTATGCTCCGACATGTTGTGATGAGTTTGGAATAACTGACTCAACATTGCCTCTCCTTCTTTGTTACCGATGAGACTAGATCCAAGGAGATTGACAATTACTTGTTGGCCATACCGTTGCTTGATCATGTCTAAATGTCTATCGAATGCTGGTGCAGAGGCCTCGAAGCCGCGTGAAATTTTTACTTTATGCGAACCAACTTGAATGCCGGGCTGTTCCCAGAACAAAGGAACAGAGCCTCTAGTTTGAACGTAAGAAGTTATTTCATTGTCTAAATATATGACTTGTTCTGTTTCTACAAAGTTTGCTACATGTCCATCATCATTAGTTCCTCTGACATTAAACCTAGATAAAAAACCAGTATTGTAATGCAATACATAGATTAATTTAAAATTATCATGCGTATTATGTTACTTTATAATCCCCTCCCATAAAGTGTATCGATAAGAAATATGATAAATGTGAAACAGTTGTCTCCTATCCTCAAAGAATTGTAATGATTTATTTCACTCATTGCTAATGATACCATTATGAGCATACAAATGTACCTGGTGCCTGCGCGTTCGCAACTTAATCTAGACATGAGGACAGCGCGTGCCTGTCTGTGGCCAACGTACACAGTTCGAATTTCCACGCTACCACACATAGCTTTAAGTAACCAATGACTGGTGTCTACTCCATACCTCAGCAAATGTATGTGTAACATTCGATTCCTGGTATCATACAATGAGATTAATATTGCAACATCAAAGTTTATTTTGTTCTATACGCTGCATCGTACGCATAATACAAACCAGAAAAATCTGTTATCAGTCGTTGTAGCTTTGCACCGTCTCTGTGCACTAAGAGTAATATCAAGAGACTCTTGGAGTCCAGGGGACCATGAGAAATAGAATGTACCGGAATTAAGAACCTTCCTAACTTCAGACACCCGATCCTCATTGCCTTGTGTATAATGTAACGGTACAAAATGTGTTTGAGTGATTCTGAACACTTCCGATTCGCCTATTTTACCAACCGAGAAACAGCCAGTAACAAGAACAAGGTACAACAATGTATTCTCTCCAGCATTCAATTGCAATACACCTAAGCATCCGTAGGCATCTAATAATTTTGTGTATTTGCTTTTCAAAGATTCCGTTTCCTCGGCAGCTGTAATATCAAATACAATCGTCAATGATAATTCGCGAAACGTAGATAACAATAACAAAGAAAATTTTCGCGAGATCAGATAAAAAGGTATCGAATAAAAAAACTGAAGGTACACGTTTGACAGGTACCGGTTCGTGCATTTCAAATGAGGAAAGCACGGAGAAACTGCACGGGATCGGTGGAGATTCAGAGAAACATTATTATTGGTAAACGAAAAAGACTCACAAAGAACGGCTACAGCTTGCGCCTCGAACAGGACAGTCTCTTTTCGATTTCGTTGCTCCAGTATAAGGGAATGAGGACTAGGTGGTTTTAGTTTTTCGTAGACGCGAAACCCTTTGCCCATCGCCATTGTTGCGCTAATGTCTTCGAAGGTTTCAGGGATAAAGGTACGTTCTCGCTGGATATGACAGCTCCGTCTGTCATACGGAGCGGCACTGTAATCAGCCTATTCTTACGATGTTTTCCCTCTGTCGACTGAACACTTCGTTCGTCGACCACTGACAGCAATACGGAGTTTTCTCTAACAGCTCACGGAGGGGAGCAGCGCTCTTCTCGCTGATCCGTCGATACTTCGATATTTTCGCGATATATACGCATCGCGATTCCACGGTGTCTTCTCTAACCGTAACAATCAATCGGCAGCGCCATTTTGAAAATTTGAATAGTCGAACGGGGCAACGATTTCGCGCCAAGATCCTGATCAGAAATTTGAAAGTCTTCGAAACTGTAAGAAGGAAAAACGTTCGAACTGAAAATCCTGATTTATATGTAACTTTATGTATGTAACGATAACGATATACAATAAAATTTGAAATATACGAATTAATCAGGAATTCTGCATTTATTAGTTTCTTGTGACAGAAAATGGCAAAAGATGATCGTTGATTGCGTTGCGTATGAATATAAAATAGTAGCATAAAAATTAGGTTAGAAATTGGAAGAATAAGAGTGGATAATTAGGTGCACCGAGATAATTGTATCGCGAGATACGTTTCAATTGATTTGCGATAAAGTTTATTTCTCTTAGTGACACAGTGGTTGTTACATTCAGTTTGGCGCCGTGGCCGTTACTCTGTAACAAGATTCATCGACAAACGATCGTCGTTCTCTCGTAGAATATCATCCCTATTCTAACGTATCGTGTTTAAATAGTTTACAAAGAATTAATGCTCGATTACGGCTACGTTCGTCGCAGATGTCTTGGATCGTTGCATACATCTTACACACTAATTATAGAAAACGTCACATCCTTTTATATTACCACAATATTTACACGGCAAAAGGTACCAACTTATCGGTACCTAATTATTTGTTAGGCTATCTGTTTCCATTTACTCGTCTGTTTTATACGTTGCCAGTACTAAAACGTATCTTAAATAGCAGCAATACTTGAAAAGAAAATGTTAATTAAAAAATGAAAATCCATCGAACACCCGTTATTCGAAAGTGATAATCGTTCGAAGGTACACCGTATTTGAAGTATTCGCACATTCAAAATTGTCACTGTGTTCGGTTGGCGGACATTGCGGTATAAGCGTCGATAAAATTAATTCCTGAATGTCGAATTTCGAGGAAAGCGCTGCATCGTTTACAATATCTCCGGAAATACTCTTAGACTAGGAAATTAATATACACTATACAACAAATTTTAACAGTCAGTCGGTACAATTAATACTTTCCTATTCTCCTATTCTCCTTCTCTCTTTGATACTAATTTCTTTTCATGCACCAATGGAGTTTTACATTATGTATTATTACATAAATAAGTCAGCATATCAATTAGAAGTAAATCGAGACATTTTTTTTTTCTTTCTTTAGATCATTGAAGTTCCTAACATTTCATTTTGAAAATGTTATTTACGATATAGGTAGACGAATCTCTCTGTTAAACGCTACAATTTAACAGGGGGAAAAAAAAAGTTATTGAATTCTGGGAAACGTTATCTTTCTTCTTTCTAGTTTTTAAAACTTTTTGTTCTATGTCCTGCGTCCTGTCTTCTTAATGTCGAATAGTTACCTAGTACGTACTATATAGAAAATATTATTTCTTGGAATATATGAGTAGTCGCTTCAAAAACTAAACGGCAATCGCTTTACAAGTTTGGCCTGAATGTAAAAAAGATGTTAGTGATTACAGAACACATTACATGTCCAACGAATGCTTACACCTCGAGGAAGTCCTTTAACAAAGTGACACGACGCTTCTCAGCAATGTCCATTTGATTTTCTATATCTCCGCGATCCGTCGTTTCCGCGTGCTCTATCTTCCAAGACAAGTTTTCTATTTCTGCTTCCAGTTGAGCTTGCTGGTACTCGAACTGAAAATAAAAGCAGGTTGTTAGCTTTCAGGGTACAATGATTGATTTTCTACGTCTCATAATTTTGATTGTATTAAATGAAGCTGTACCAATTCTTTACGCGGTCCAGGTTCCATATAGTAAGCATAGGGATAAGTGTACTGCAAAGTGTAACGGCAGCGTGCCAAAAGTGAGGCAGCTTCGAACAAATGCTGCCAATCAATCCAAGTTCCACTTGCGTTCATCACTTTTTTATTTATCCGCATTTTTATTCCCTTCAATGTTTGCTCTTCCAACTTCAATGATTTACTATGATTCTCCCACTAATAAAATGTTAGAACAAAAGGGATTTAAAATAAAATTCTTCTAATTATGCATATTTCATAAACAGATTCAAGCTTACCCTTTCGTAATAATGAAGATACTTTTTAAGAGCTTCTCGAGCCTGTGCATGAATACTTGCATGAACAATGTTAGGATTTTCTTTGTAGCGGGAGCATTCATAGTACTCAGTTCCATGCGCTTTCCAATCTCCAAGGCACATCCAACAAAAGTCATGCTTACAGTTATAACATTGCATATGATTGCAACCACCATTCTTCTCTATGCAAATATGGCATTTTGGACACTGCAAACGAATATTGGTTACTAAAATGTAATACATTTGTGCATACACATTTGATTTGTAAACTTACATCTTTGGTGTGAGCGCTAATATAATTAGCTGTCTCTGAGTCATCTGCACACTTTGTTAACCATTTCTTAATTGTATTGCAGTCAGTAGGTGCATGATAGTCCATACCGCATCTCAAGCTGAAATTTTTACAATATGAATGAAAAACTGAATAAACTCCTACATATGTGTTACAAGTTTGAATGCATACCAAAATATAGTTTTACATGATGTACATATAACTCTTTTGGCTCGTTGTTCCTTTGAACGCAAAACTATTTGGCAGTTGGGTCCAGGACAAAATCTTAGTTGTGGATGAGATTTCACGTAATCACAGAAAGCAAATTGTTGATACCTTTCTTTCATGTTAGGCTTTGTAAGTAAAGATAAAACAAAATCTTCAGGAGCTAACACATCACAATCCTGTGCCATACAGCTTATTCCTAGTGAAAATTAAAATATTTATTAAAAGAAAATGTGTTGATTCTAAATTGAATCTTATATTCAATCCTCAAAATTACTTAAATGTTTCTATAATATACTGTATGCACTTGTTTAATGATCTTACCTGTAGAAATACCTTGAGTTATTTGTACTTCAAAATGCATACACCAACAGTCTTTACAAAATGAATGACCACATGTTAATGTGGAAAACATTAGTTTATCAGCAGGATAAACTGTAACACAAACTAAACACAATCCACCCCTTTGACCTTTTAATCCCGGCACTGAATCCGAAGGATGCATTGGTTTTATTTTTGAATCAATTAACAAACTGGAAGCATTGGTTCTGTACTTTACGATGATATCTTGTAATGCCCAATTGTGTGCGTGTAATAAAACTTTGGCTAACGATGGTGTTATATGAAGACTATTACTTAACACTTCAACATTTTCGTTTAAAAGTCTTTCCACTTCTTCAACTTGTAAGCAATCGTATATAGCATATTCTGGATCCCTTCTATTTTGATCAGGATCTATGTCATTGTCAACTTCACCACCCCACGGTTGAACATTGTAATAGTCTTCATAGCCTGGATCTCCGCAATCAGAGTCGGAATAATCCATCTCACTGTCATATTCTTTGCTTGACATCTATAACACAAAGAATACAGTTCTTTATTCTCTATGAAAGTAAATATCTAATTAAGTATTTAAAATATCTCATTCAATACACGAAGTACATATGTGTGTACACTGAAAAGTAATTTCATAACCTAATACATTCTACTATTTACATATATATGTATATTAAAAATATACTGTAAACGAACGACGTTGACGTTACATTAATTAATTAAATAAAAAATCCATTAAGAGATGTCACTAACGATGAACATTTGATGTCGAATTTTCGATAAATGTGCAAAGACAATGGCTATAATCCCCCTTTTTGGTTAGTACAGTTTTATGCGAGTCTTTTATTAAATAGTTTACAGAAAATGAAAAGGTAGAACTATTTGCGATTGTCCGAAGGAAAACGCAGCGGACTCGAATATTTTATACAAGGAAAGTGTAAACGAAGCATTTCGATGTGACGTTTCGTAAACAATTTTATGGAATTTCGAACGCTGCGTCACGATTAAGCCATTCGTTTCTTCTCGATTCAGTGTGCAACAACAGCGACCCACCTTTAACGTCCTTATTTATCAAGAAAAATGCATTGATGTTTCTATTTCGAGGGTGAAACGATAAAAGTTATTTAAAAGGCTTTATCACAGCCGTCTAAAACTAGAAGTTCCACCAGCGCATGGGTTCTATGTATACTTCTAGTCCCCCGTCCTGAGCGTACGATGCGAACGATGTTGTAACAGATGATTTCATTTTAATCTGAGAGTAGATAAGAATGTCAAAATCACCTGATAGGAACCAGCTGAGATCTGCAAAGTAAACATTATCCAATGCGAAACTATTATTAAATTGACAGTCTACTTTGAAACGCGAAAGAATCATATACCCAAATATCTTTTACATTCGCTACTCGTGTCTCGATGATTTCCATAAAAAAGATTCGAGAACACAAGTACCCTGTATTCTTTTATATTGCATTTTATAAAATTTCTTTATATCTTTTTAAGATTACCACTGAACAAAATTTAATAATAATATTTAAAAAAATACAATACTCGTTTTATGGAGCCACATACCGGGCAATATACGTACTTCTATGGTATTAACGAGAATATCGAAATATTTCATTGACACATTTTAGTCGAATTACTATGAAAAGATTATGATTTCAATAAGACAATTATAAAATAATACAAATAAATTTATATTCTAAACCTTCCCCACGTGTCATTACAAATATCACTTACTTCCTGAAACTTGCAACGGAATTGTTTTTCCAAATATATTAATTCAAAATTTCAAACCTTTGTGCGTGTAAAATTATAGATTATATATAAGATGAATTTAATTATCTATTAGAATTCAGTAACTTAGAAATTCGTAACACCAGTAGCTTAAAAAGCCAATTCTTGTAACGAGTTCTGTTACAGTAACTCAACGAAGGAATTAATTATTATGAAATAAATATTCGTAAATTATAACATGCAATATTAAATTCAAATGCCCGCCTGAATTCGTAGTGTAAAGGTGGACATGCAACGGTAACAAGGGTAGAAAGTATTATACTTTTGAATAGGATGAGCCTCAGTGAAGCACCATTTGTTGATACAGTAATAAAAGGTATGATATCCTCGCAGCAGCTTTTCTTATTATACGATACTTAAAAAGGGGAAACCGGGCAATAATCATAGCCACGATTTTTTGCTGTGTCCGACTTTCATAATTGTTCAATAAAATTGAAAATCCTGGGGATTCTGTGTTAATGGTAATTCTCAATAAGGATTCACGTGGAAACTGTATTAAGCTACGTGAACTTGCTTTTGTTTCGGTTCTCGATTCTCTCGCGTACAGAACTGATCGAATTAAAATTCGTGGTCAGCGAAACGTAACTCTTGCATCACTTGAGACACACAGCATAGCAGAAGACAGTGGAAAAACCGTTGGTGGCCTGTAGCCGTTAAATGGAAGACTAACGTAACCTAGACCGATAGCGTCCTTATTGGAGTTATCCAGACTAGATCTGCTCCAATTCGAAGGTCCGCCGTTATTCAAAGAGTATTATGCAAAGTTTTGATACGTGCGAAAGGTAAGCGTTTTCGCATGAAAACAGAACTTACGCTTCGCTCTGGTGTTTAATGATTCGCACGATTGTTTGCGTTATATTGAACTCTATGCATCATGAAGCATTGGCTCGCCCCGAACTGATGCGGCTCTGTTTTAAATGCACGTTAAACATGCGAATAAAAAACTTTTTTTTCTAAATGATCGATTAATCGTATACTTTCCTTTAATTTGTACGATCGTTTAGCACCTTCTCGGTTTTACCGTTTCTAATTTATAACATTTTTTACGGCAGTATTTTTAAAAGCCACTTAATTATATACCCTCGCGAATATACGTTATCGTTGTTCCGTCTATATTCGTCGAACAGTTTAAAGGTACAGAAAAACATTGAAATCTGACAGGTAACACCTCAAACAACGAATAAATTGCCCTGAATATTTTTCATCGTTTATAGTAGTCGTGATTTATTGAGAAAGATGTAGTTTAAAGGATAATTCGACTTAGTGTTTTTTTTGTTTAATGTCACCATTATTCGTCAGTTTAGAGTTTAGTATAATGTTTATATCTCGTTAAATGAGATGTCTCAGATTTTTTAGTGATAGTACGAAAGCATGATAAAGTTCACATTTATCAATTATGTTAAGTTCTCCCTTTCGAATGTTTTTTCTGGAAAAGGAATTCTCCTTTTTTTCAGAATATAAAATAGTTTCATTAAGAATATATAGTGTTAAAAATGGATCCTGCAACAGCCATAGCACGTTCCAAGGAAAACATTCAACCATTGCGTTATGGTAGAAATGTTGCACAGCTGGGGACTGCATTAAGAGCACAAGAGGATGTGGATGCTCAACAGTTACTCCTTCAGGAAAGACAGTATGTAGAATTGAGATTATTGTCATTTTTCTTCAATTTTCATAAATTATAGGTTATTAATTAATTAATTGAAAATTAATTTGTATACATATACATATTCGCAGAATGTATGAAGCTGCGATAAAAAATTATGAGGGAGACGATCCTTTAGAAAATTGGTATGAATATATATTGTGGGTAGAGCAGAGTTATCCAAAAAGTGGCCATGAGTCACACATTGGTAAACTTTTGCAACAATGCTTATCGATATTTGAAAAAGAGACCAAGTATCATCAGGATCGTAGATATATACGTCTTTGGATTAATTATGTAAGGACTTATGACAGTATTTTCTATTGTACTCCTACAAGAATGGAAGTTAATAAGATATTTCGATTCCAGATCAGTATGCAGAAAAATCCATTAGAATTATATCAACTTTTATACAACAATGGAATTGGGACTATGGTTGCAGATACATATAGAGCATGGGCTTTTGAATTGGAACAGATGGAAGACTATAAACGTGCGGATAAGGTTTATTTAATGGGTCTGTCAGCCAAAGCAGAACCTCAGGAAGAATTGGATTATGCTCATAAGTACAGATCACAGGGTTTAAGTGCTAAAATAAATTTTTAATGCTATCAGTCTTATTAAATTTTCTATCTTTTTTTTCAGGAATTTTCAACTTGCTGTTGCACGTAAAACCTTGGGTCATACTGACGACCGTAGCGAAAGATCACTACTCGAACAACGTCAAGCTTTTAGCTCCTTAAGAGCAATAAAAGCTGGGAAAAAGGTTAGTAGTGTACGTACCGGACATCGAGTTCGTGAACACTATCCTGGTACTGTCCCGCAAATTCCGTCGGCGATGCATAATGCAAATTCCAGAGTACATATATATCAGGTATGAAAAGATAGAAAGATATTTAACGATGAAAAGATTGGCAATGAGTATCTACATTGGAATATTTTTAATAGGATGACATTCCTGGTGATATGAAAAGTTCTAGTATACTCGACCATGTTCCAGTAGAGGATACAGTTCACAAAGAGAACACAATTAAACCTGGTCCATGGAATGGGAATGGACATAAACGGTGTCCATTAATGTCATCTGTTACAAAACCAGCTTTCAAAGGTGCAACATTATTTGTATGAACATTAGTGTTGATTTCATACATATACACATTGAAAGACTTCTACTAATTTTTATTTAAATAACAGTTCACGAGGACCAGCCAGAAGACTATGATGGAAGTAAATTAAGATTATTCCCAAACCATACATATTTTTTTGATGGCAGTAAATATCCCGAATATTTAACAGTGCCTGTATTCGTACCCGACGTTCCAAATCCAAATATTATATTAAAACCACATTATCCAAAAGATTTAGTATATGCTAATAATATGGATATGAGCATGGAGGAAATTAGGGTCCAACGATATCTTCAAAAGTACAGATTATTTTGATTAATAGCAATTGAAGTAGTAAATATAAGTAGATGATGATATTTCTAAAATTACGATTGAATTGCAGAGCACAAGCTATGGAGAAAAGAAACGAACCTCACGACATAAGAGAGTCCGAACAGGCCCATCACAGAAGCTTCGAGACAGAACAGCAGAGGCACAATATATCTTTGCAAGAAATGCTGCGACAGAGACAAGAGTTTAAACAACAAGAGGAATTATCAGAGAGACACAAAAAGTTGCAACAGCAACAGAGAGAAGTCGAACAGTTCGAGATAGATAGACAGAGGCTTCAAGTGGAGCAAGAAAGGCTTCAAAGACAACAATACGAAGCTGAAAATCAAGCACTGGAGAACCAAAGGCGCGAAGCCGAGCAAAGAGAATTGGAAAGACTGGAAGCTGAACGACTCGAGGTGGAAAGACTCGAAGCGGAAAGAGTTGAAGCGCAGAGAATGGAGGCCGAACTAAATTCACAACGTAAACTTCAAGCTTCTAATTTCATGCATCAGCATCACTCGACGTCTTTGACAGCCGAACCCGAGGAACACTTGCTTGGACAAAGTCTTACGGTGAACACGAAAGAAGCGATGTCAGTTGTGCAAGACATGTGGCGTTCACCTGACACAGGGCCTGCAGTTCTCAATTTTCGTAATGCCATGACACCTAGAATTCCAGATTCTAAAGTTTTGAAAATGTGTTTCGACATACACATGGATAGTTCGATGACTCAACACGCAATGTCCAGTAGCAAGCATCATTCTGGATACAACGTGCAACCGTACAATGATCAGGAGAACCATCAAAACTACTCCACTCACCAGTCTTATGCTGCTCAAGAGCATCAGGCTCCTTATAGTCCCGGATTACACAATACATACCAGTATCAAATGCAGGTACAATACGTAGAATATATTTATTCAATCGTGTAATATGAAATGGGTAATTCAAACTTGGAAATAATGCTGCAAAGATTGATAATATAAACAAAGTATTTGGTTCACAATACAAAAAATCCCACATTCTATATTACACGACCTAATAATAATACTTGTCTAGTGAGAAATTTGTAGAATAATTTCTTCAACGACCGATTGCAGCAGCATCACGAGCAAGTGCAGCAGTCCCATTCTCGGCCGCATCATCCGCAACATCATCAACAGTTAATGCAAACGCACCCGCAGGCCCACGTAATGGCTCACCATCAATCTCTCTCCCATCCGTCGCATTTGCAAAGTCACAGCCAGATTCAACACCATCAAACTCACCATCCTCAGCAGCATCAACCGTCGCCTAACCTTCATCATCAGTCGCATCAGCACATGCAGCATATGCAGCATGCTGTTTACGGCAGCATGACACCGAACGAGATCTCTTATCAGCAGTATCCCTCGCAATTGGAATCCACGTTGTTGCAGCATAACGTGGAATCTCAGAAACAGCTTCACTACTCTCCGTACAGTGAACCTGATATCGAGACCAGTAAACCATACAGAATGCCCCCAGAGTTACCTTACATAAAATCTCCTGGCATGAATCGCAGAGACATAAAGTACCTCGAGGGCGCCGAGGACAAAGAGAACGCTATCGTGGTCGACTATAACGGGCCGATAGAAGAGAACATGACATCTAAGCCAGTCGATGAGAATAATCTATACATTGATGAAAGCCTTGGTATTACTCCGCTGTCGGGCAATAATGATACATGTTACACCGAAGCGTTTAATACGCAACTGACTAGCTCTACACCTATGACTAATCATTTTAGACAATCGTACAAACCAGCTGAAGGAACACCACAATTTTCGAACCAGTGCACAGCACCTCCGTCGTATGTAACATTTTCATTCTTTTCCTAACCTGTACGGTGGTTATAATTACCTACGGATTCTACGTGATATATATTTAATATTCATTTATATTTCTTACAGAAACACAGAGGCTCGCAACGGAGAAGGTGAAGAGAAATTAAGTGTTATATTAGAGACTACTAGGGAATATATTTCAAGCAGTTCCAGTAGTAGTGCTCATACAAGGACTGCTGCTTTAGGCTTCACTTTGACCAAGGAGGATTTGGGTCCTATAAAAGAACAAGGTAATTCAATGTTTCCGTTACCTTCACTTTGATTACAATTGAACATATCACGATACAGAAATCTGTACAGCTTGTAAAGTTTTTAATTAATATCAGATGATTCGTTCTGTCCGCTAAGATACATTTTTCTTTCGTCCACAAGGTGAAAGCGAAGAAGGTACAGATGTTACATTGTCTGCGAATCAACCCTACGAGCAAACGCTTCAAGCCCAAATACAAGCTGTACATGCTCAAAGTCCGCGTACAGTGCAACGTAATGTGGATCAAATTACTTCGGAGATTAAGAAGAATTGTGATTTACGGAAGTCGATCAACTTCAAACTGAACGAGGTAGAGGAGCAGGAGAAAGCTGATACAATGGAATGCGAGGAGCATCACGAACCTATGGAACAAGCAGAGGAGGAAATCTTTCAGTTTCCGTCGGGAGATATAAATCCATTTGACAAAAATTTAATAGCTGGTCTTTTAAAGAAAATTAAATTCCCCCAACCGCATCACGCAGAAGGATACGTGAGATTAGATACTAATTTAAATAAGCTTGTGCCTTCTACTATGGTTATGCTTGGTCAGTGTATTTAATGTAACAGGATTTCTATTACAAACATATGACAGGGGATGTACTTAGCGTTTACTTGTCCCTTTAATGTGTACAGGTAACGAAGCGTATGATTTGGAAAAGTGCCTTGGAAAGGGAATGTATGGTACAGTATTTAAAGCAGTGAATCTCCAAACAGGTCAAACGGTTGCTCTGAAAACTCAAAAGCCTGCCTGGGTTTGGGAATTTTATATCACTAGAGAAATAAAAGCTCGTTTGACTAATCCACATGTGGTATTGTATACGATTTTTTTTTTATTAACATTGATATTATATTTTCAATGTAGCATTCCATAACGTAATGTATCACATTACAATTTAGATGGAGTAATTAACGGTGTCAATGAGTTTTCTCCTTGTTTCCAGTTACGTGGATTTATGGATGTGTCGATGGCTTACGTTGCAAATAACGGCAGTGTATTAGTCTCCGAGTATTCGAAATTCGGAACACTATTGGCGGTAACGAATCAGATAAAAATTGCAACGGGTAAACCGTTGGTGGAGCATTTAGCTATATTCTTCACAATTGAAATGTTGCAAATTGTGGAGTACCTACATAAATGCCAAATAATACACGGGGATATCAAGCCAGATAATTTCCTGTTGATGCGTTTGTATGTATCTTCTTATGTAAAACGGTGCGTGCTGACGTTTGATTGACTCAAACATAATAAACATATTCAATTTGCAGACCTACAGAGGACGTGAGACCAACAATACAGCTGATCGATTTTGGATGTAGTATAGATATGAGTTTGTTACCAGAAAAAACAACATTTACTCAAGTAATAAAGACAGAAGACTTCACGTGTATCGAAATGCAGACTGGTAGATCGTGGACTTACCAGACAGATTTGTATTGTTTGGCCGCAACAAGTCACTGTCTGTTGTTTGGCAACTATATGAGAGTTTCAAATGTTGGTGGTCGTTGGTTCATTACCACAAAGATACCAAGGTATTAACGAATTACAGAAATGATTGCATAACGTTCGTAAGAATATGCATATGATTATTTATTTAATATATTATTGGGATAAATACAGGTACATGAAGAAACCTGCATGGGAGCAGTTCTTCACGGAATTATTAAACGTTGAATCCTGTGAGAAAATGCCGGACTTGTCGAAGCTGCGCAACATGATGGAAGAGACATTAGCGCAAATGGCGGACGCGCAACAAAAAATTAGAAACTTTGTCAATATTCTGAACAAACGATAACACTTACTGAACGTGCTGTATCGAATGTTATGTTCCAATGTGTGCACATACTTAGCAAAGAAGCAGGAGAGGAAGAGAACAAGGAGAATTAATATTATTATGCTATTTATTATAAAAGTTAATACTACAGTGATATATGTACTACACAGTTAATAATACATGAAATGCACTTTATGGCCTGCTTCGTGGAGGCTTTAACGAACTATATTGCTTGCACATAATCAATTCGACTAGGAACACTAAATATTTGATTCGATTATAAAGAAAGAAAAGAAAAGAGAAAAAAAATGAGAGGTAAAAATGAAAAACTTTTATATTACTGACATTTTGTGCGCCATAAATTATAAAAATGTCTTTCAAGATACCTCGTGACGCAGTACCTGGATGTTAGCATCTGTCACGTAAATTATGTAAAGGCAGATCTGTATAATAAAGTTGAGTAAAAAGAACAAGACTTCAAGAACACAAAGTATGTAAAAAAAAATATTTATAATACAATGCGCGTGTGATAAATGCGAGCAATTTATCTATGTATGTAGTGTTTATATCGTATATATAAAATAAACTTTTGTTTTACTTATATTCAAACTTCTTAT